CCTCCCCGACGGCCCGCCCCGCCCCGCGCCTTCCGGTTAGCCCCTTCCGTTGTCAATCACCGCCCTGCTCCTCCTCTGATTGGCCGGCAGCGCTTGCACGATGGGTGCGAGACCGCCCTCTCTCTTTTGACCCCGGGCTCTAACCTACCCAGCGACAACCCTCTGATTGGCGGCGCGGCGAATTTCTGATTGGCTGAAGCGACAGGTAGCGGGGGCGCGCCGGGCCCGCCCCCAGCCCATTCATAAGGTACCCTCGCACAGCGGCCGCGTTGCACAAGTGCTGCCCGGCCAGCGTGGGTTGGTGCAATCCAGTGAAGCAACAAACAGCCCGGCAGCCCCCGCGCCCCGGAGAGGGGAGGGCTCTGCACCCCCAGCCCCGCAGAGGGTCCTCCCCAGCTGAGGACGGGGCCATGGGGAGAAGGGGAGCGGGCGCCTGGTGCCTCCAGCTTCGCAGCGGGGGATTAAACCTCCCACCCCAGCCTCATGGAGCTGCAGGCCCTCGTCTTTCTGCTTTTGCAAAAAAGGGAATTTTCATTTTACTGCTGCATCGTCCTTCCGCCTTGACGAAAGGCAAGCTACACGTCTGATGTGTGAAAGATAAGGACACCGCCCTCCTGCAGCACGGCCCAGCTACCCCCAAAAAACCAAGGCAGGGGCAGGTACTGGCCAGCCAGGGGGACACAAGCATGCAGGACCCTCGCCCCGCTCCGGCCTTTGGCTGTCGCCTGCCCGGGGAGAGCTCGAGCCCTTCCCTCGCGAAGTCCCATCAGATAAGGAGCACAAAGCCTCGATTTTTTCGCTCACAGAGGAGCCGCTCTCATGCGACACTGCCACCAGCAAACCATGTGATGAGGGCAGGGCACAAAGGCCCATTTTCTGCCGAGCGCTGCGTTGTGAAGAATTAGCTTTTTGTGTTTCCTAGGACACAAACAAACCCAGAAAGGGCACGGCCTCCCGGAACAGCGGGGTTCTTCATGGCCCAGGGTGGTTTACAGCAGCTGGGACACCCACCGGCCTCCTGCCCAAAGAAGAGATCGTGACCGAGCTCGAGCTCCAGGGCGATGTTAAAGCCCTGGGACGACCTGAAGCGCCCAAGCACATTAAGAATAAAGGGCGCTGATATCTCCCACGTACACCAGAGCAGCCCCAGTTTCACTTACGGGGTGGTTTTACGAGGGTGACACTCGGGGCGGTGCCCTGGATATCATCCTGGCCTGCTGGATGTTCAGGATGGGTGAGCTCCCACACCGGAGCCGCCCTCATCATTGCCTCAAATTAATTTCAGGGATGAGGAGCGGCGCAGAGAGTGGGTTACGGCGCTCCAAAGCTGCGCAGGCAGAGCCAAAGTCAGGCTCCTTTCCGCCCACCCGAAGGAAGGTCTCCCCAAAGGGTAAGTCCATCAACTCATTATTTGTTATGTTTGCTCTTCTGCCTGCGGGTATAGGTCATATTCAAGCCATACCATGACCTCAGGCATCGCCTGATGATCCAATTTGTTTCCTTTAGGCCATTACGCTAAGAGGGGGAAACTCGCAGCAGAACTCCTGAGAGGACTCCAGCTCTCGGCTGTTCTGAAAATCGAGGTTATCCAAGGACTGATCTTCCAGCCGTGAAGACCTGGCTTCCCTCCCTGCATCCGTCTGGCAACAGCAAGAGAGGGAAAAAAAAGATGAATAGGATTGGCATTTCCCCTTCCGCCAAAGGTAGGGGCTGGCAGGCAGGAGATCAGCAGTGGTTTGCTGCGACCGTTCGGCTTTGCCAAGCGATGGAGCGCCCGGCAAGGTGATCCCTAGGGCTGAACCAAGAGGAAAGTCACCATTTTAACCAAATGTCCATGCTGGAAACGTGCTTGCGTGCCGGGGCAATCCCCCTCCCGGGAGCAGCACAGGCCACAGCCGTCTCTTCCACAGCAGGCAACATTTTGTTCAGGGTAAAACAATTTAATTTCTCAAAATAGGAGAGCGAGGAGCAGCCTCCACCGCCTGCCAACATTCCCAGAGAGCAAGCTGCCAGGGGCCGCGGCAGAGCTGGCTTTCCAGCCACTGAAGCTGCACTGGCCACGCAGGCATGATTTTGTAGGAAAATACTTTACTAATCTCATCTTATTCCCTTATCAGGGAACGATCTTGAATTCTCAGGTGCTATTTTGAGGACAAGGAGAAAGAGAATGAGAAACAAAAGCAACAAGCACTGGGGAAGTGGACGAGCAGAAGTTTGCTGGTCAAAATGAGACTGCAAAATTAAGCTGTACCTGGGCACAGGCTGTCCCGCTAACGCCCAGGCCTATTCCCACTTGGTCGTTGTTCAGTCACAGTCCTTACGGGTGTTTCCAGGCTGCCACCAGAGGGAAACGCCAAGCCCCGAGCCTGGTTATGGATTTCTTCCCTAGGAAGGAGGCAGAGCTCCAGGCAAGCCCTTACGGACAAAACCGGCTGGAAAAGGGCAGGGGGAAGGCATCAGACAGCTCTAAGCAGATCTAAAAAACTCATGTTTTCACCCCCCTCCCAAGACTCGTGTGAAATTATACCCAAGGCCTCCTGATGTGATATTGCCACACTGTCCACGAGAGGGAGACTTGCTACTGCCACAGCCAGCAGGGACCGCAGCGCCATACGGCACCGCCAGCGCCGCAGTCCCGGCCGGCGCCCATAGCAGCAGAGCTTGCCCTCATCTGCCCCCCATTTTTTGCTCTAAATGGTCCGTGCCCCCCCCGACCTCCGTGACGAGGAACCCAGCGCAGAGTAACAAAATGATTTATTCTCATTTCCTCTTATTTTAGAGATCAGTTATGTACAGAAACTGTAAAAAAACCTCAAGAGCCTCTGAAGAAGAGCAATTACAGATGCTGCCGGAAAATAAAATCACAGGTACTGGAAGGAACCGAGAGTCAGTTCTCTTTGACTGGGGGCGGGGGGGGGAATGAGCCTTTGAGGGAATCTCTCTGTTTTTCAAATATCCTTGATGACCTCTTCAAGCTCCTCTTTCGTGTACATGTGGAACTTCATCCCCGGCTCCACCGTGGCAAGCTGAAAGAGAAGGAGCAAGGGGTTAAGCGTGCCTGCGTGTGCAAAGCGACAGCACGGGGCAGGGAACAGCGAGCAGCCGCAGCGCCGGAGCAGCTGTTCCTTCTCGGCTGCCCGATCTGCCAGCCCAGCAAGATCATTCCACCCCGTAACACGCTCTTTGATTCCCTAAAATAGCCGCCTGCCGCAGAAATAGCTTTTAATTGACTCAGTCTCCTCATAGTAGCAGCAGCAGGGAATGTCTACTGGGAACACGGCAGGCTCGGCTTCTGCTTGCTGGGGAAAAAGACCCCGTTAGTACGAGCCCTTCGTCAAACGCTCTGCGGAGGCGGTTCTTGGCGCAGTTCAGTGTGGCCCTCAGCAGAAGTGCCTCTCCTCCTCCAGCAACCAACCAAGGGTACAAATCCCAGCGCGTTACGTGCCTTAACAGAACCCAAAGTAGCCAAAGGCTCAAAAGGGGCTGAGGGTTAGCTCGGGGGATCCGAGGCAGAGGCAAACCTGCATTTTGATCGCCAAAAGCCGACACTAAGCAAGCCGTGGTGCGCCCTGCAGCTGCCCAGTGCCCTGTACAAGCGGGCCAAAGAGATCTCTTCCAAGGCAAAGCCCAAGGGACAAAGCTGGGGGACAACACGCATCGCCCTGCCCCTTTGCCAGGGGCAGAGGGAGGCGGTGGCCAGGGCAGACAGCTGAGACGTTTCACAGGGCGAGCACCAGAACAGGAGATACTTGAAGAATGACAAGACTGGAAGAGGAATCTAAGCGGGACTTTTCGTTCGCACCTAGCTCAGCAGCGCGAGAGCCCGAGACGCGCAGAGCTGCCACGGGCAGGCGAGGCAGAAAGCCACAGGAGCCAGCGGGGATGCTCCGGACCTCGCTCGCAGGCACCCCCCGGCACCAGGCACCATTACCTTTACTCTTAAGGGATCAAAGTGTTTGGTTGCAGTAAGCTGAAGGAAAGCTGCAGAGAGGGTCCTGGCAAATCCCAGAGCTCTTCCTAGGCTTCTCTGCTTGCAAGGTCACCCATAAAACAGCACGAGATGGTGCTTTTGGGGTAGAGGGAAGGTAGCCGCAAGCCTTTTTCAAGGAGAAACATCCCAAACACTCGGCCTGAGAGCCCCTGACAGCCCAGGTTTTATCTGGCATTCTCAGACAAGCCAGAGGCGCTTGCAGGGGCCGCTTTAGGCCCCTCGAATCACCTGTACAGGCGCTGGCCTGACACTAGATCCAAACGGGCTGGACAACACACACAAATCCACCCTGAAAGCCAAACTCGGAGGCACCAACTGCTCCGCTTTCCCACACCCGCTCGAACCTGTGCCTCATCTCCTCCCTACAAACAAAAGCTTTACTCAACTATTCCCTTACAGGCTTCACAGGGAAGTAATTAATTAAAAAGCACAACATTTGTTTAAGGCTCCTGACCTTTGCTGCCAACGGATTTAACCCTTCCATGACCGCCTCTTCTCTTTGCTGCTAGATGGCAAAGCCCATACAAGAGGGGAAAGCGGGCGAGGGTAGATAAACCGGAGCACCGCATACTTCGACAAGGCTAGAAAGCAAAAGCAGCTACTTCAGGTAGAAGATTTTCAGCCAGAAGGGTGCCTTGAGAGACCTTTTAATCCTCAGCACATTCTTCTCATACTTAACCCTGATATGATTCCTCAACGCGTTCAGAGCTTTGCCAAGCACAGTTAAGCCCTGTTAAACGGGGACATGACATAAGGATACTGTACACGCTCCTCTGCCTCAGTTTCTTTGCACTGTACTGCAGATCTTCCAGAAGAGACCTGAAGCTGATCAAGAGCGGACTGATCGGTGCGGGTGGGGAGCGCATCTGGGGAAGCAGATTTCAGCCAGCCAGCATCGCTTCTGGACACAGCATCTAAGTTTTCAGCGTGCTGTTGGCCCTTTACCCCCCAAAGGAAGCCGGTTTATCATGTCAGAAAGGGTCCCCAGCAGCAGTATTTAATAAAAAAAAAATGGGGTGCATGCTTTTAGGCTGTTTGGGAAATGGGTTCCCAGCGCTCAGAGGAAAGGAATGGGAGGGTGGCAGGAGGAGAGCAGCTCAGGAGTTGGAATGACATGATTTGAAAAGGTCTAGTGTCTCATAACCAGCCCGAAATAGAAGCAAACTCTATACGCCAGCCTTGCGCATCATCTATCCATTATCACCAACAAACTGGAAGGGTTTTTTTACCTTTGCTACCTAAAAAGGAGCATTACAAGCCTTAACGAGCAAGGTTTAAGGGGACAGGTACGACTACATTGTGGGAACCTCCAAGAGCACTGCATGCTCGGGTCAAGCTGAGCTCCTCCAGCCTGGCTGCTTGTGGGCAAAAGCCGGAGGTTCAAGGAGCACGTTGGCTGCTGGAGGCTTCACCTCTGTGGTCCTCCTGTCCAGCAGATTTTTGGCATCATCCCAAGACTGAATATAGCAAGTCCAGAAGCTGTATAATTTTCATTCCTTCTAATATTACAAGTACCAGGGAAAAAAAGAATGGCTAAACCCAGGGGAAGAAAAAGCGATCCGGTTGGCACGATAGGTTCCCGCTGGCTGACTCGGCCTGTGTAAGGTCAGCGGGGGCTCCAGGGAGCCCCACGAGAATCGCTTCTGCCAGCATTCGTGGATTAGCCAGGCAAAAGGGCCAGACTGCACGCCTCTAGGAGTCAAAAGAAAGCTCCAACAGTTCCAATGTGCCACACGCGACACACTACGACGGGTGGTTCGAAAGCGCAAGAACATCTGCGGCCAGGCAGCCGTTGGTTTGGGAAGTCCTGAAGTGCCCCACCAACTCATCCCTTGCTCTAGAAGCAGAGGCAACCCTTCTCTCCAGAAAGCAGGCACTCAGCTTTCTCAGCCGGACCTTTAAAATACAAGACGCTACCAAAACCCTCGCTGCGCAGCTGGCAGGATTTGCACCGCGGAAGCAAAGACTCCAGGTGGCGCAGACTTCTGCGCTGCAAGCCACAATCCCACGCTGCTCACAGCGGCGCCGTTACCTCAATGTTGGTTGCGTTCAGTTTCTCCTCCATAACTTGTTTCAGGATGACGAGGGAAGATTTGATTGCTTCTTTCAGCGTCATTGACTGTAAAACAAATCGCTCATTAATCGCATTGTTGACGCTCAAGTGAGTGCTCGTACGTTACCCCTTTGACTGCGAAAGCGTGCTGCTCCCCCTCCCGCTCTTCTCAAATCCTTTAAGCTGCCACTGGCAGCAAATTTAAAAGCTTATCAAGTTATCTACAGCATCAACAAGAGATCAAAGCGCACTGTTCAGGCAGGACAGTGACGATGGCAAGGATGGCGACTTTCTGCTTCTGTATAACTTTTTTTTACAAAGCTTAAGAACTGTTAATCCGGGCACACAAACCTTACTGTCAGGATGAGGACACGAGGGTCCTTTTCCCTTCACCAGTTCCTGTCTATCAAGCAATTCCTCCGCAACAAGCTCCAGTGGGAGCTCCCAAAAGCCGGACTCCCTCTTGGCAGAAGCCTTCATGCTTTAATCACATAAATCCCTGCATGAGGGGGAACTAGAGCCAGAGGGCCGTGCAACATTCAGAGCGTGACAATAGCTGGGTTTGCAGTAACTTTGCGCTTGGATGATGCCACAGAGCCCAGGACTGAGGACAATTCTGCTAGTGAACAGATGAAGTTGTCAAGTCTTAGGCTGGAAGTCTTCACAGCAATCAACGCCATCAGTTGTGCTTTTCATTACAGCGTCTGGTTTCTTGCCACACAAAATGGTGGTAAGAAACCTCCCTCGTGGAGGGGAAAAAAGTTTCTATTTAATATCAAATAGGACCAATCCTTGCAGCGCAAAACCCATTCACTTCACTGGCTTAACAGGTCTGGTGAAACGAAGCCACTTGCTTTGTAGCTCCTTACGCTTTGGGCTGCATCCATGCTGAGCCCTGATGCCGACCGGCAGCGTTCGTGTAGCAGGTCTTTTATTTATAGAGTACTTCCTGACATGGGCTTAATTATCACCCGCTGGAGGCAGAGATCGGCATCTCAGACACCAGGCTCATGTTCCAGCTGCAGCCTAGAGGGAAGCTGCTGGTCGTAGTACTCCTCCTCGCAGAGATCCTCACCCAGCAGCTCAGCACCAACATCTACTCATGGGATCAACTGCCAAGGACCGAGTCCCACCCAGACAGGCTCACGCACCTCCTCTACAGGGCAAAAGTCATCTTGCAAAGCACTCATTCGGGAAGGGAACTAGGGGATGCTTGTAGGTTGTGAGGTACCTCTGTAATTTGTGAGATGTCAACCCCAATCCAGCCTTTTACCTTATGGTAAACCTCCTGCAGAGAGCTCTGTGCGCCTTCCGAGGCAGAGCCGATTGCTCTGGCGTCGCACTGAACAAACGTCCCTGAAGGGTCCATGTGAAACCTGCAGGAACACGGGTGAGAGAGCGAACAGCCACTACGCCCTGTCCCGCACCGTGGCACCCCAAGGGCTTTCCCACCAGACCCACGGCGCTCCCCAGAGCTGCCTGCACGGCTCAGAGCTTGGGGAAGAACGAGGGCTCCTCGGCAGCGACAGCTTGCCTGCAGGGCAGGGCTCGCAGCAGCCCCTCGCTGCATCCAGCCTCCTCCCTTAGGCCCAGCGGCCTCGAGGGGCTGCTGTGACCAGCACAGCAGCAGGTCTCTCCTCCTGGCACGCAGAGGGGGAGACCAAGGTTTGAGGGGTGCCAAAGAGTCGCCTACAGACCCACGTTGGGCTGGTGAGCTAGGAGGAGAGCTATACGCTCCTGATGCTGCCCTCCATACTCACAGCAGAATCATTTTCCTTTTTATTTTCCCCCTTATTTTACTTCTTTTTAATAAAACCAACAAGTCTTCACTACTGCTCCTGGGAGGGAGATGGTGGAGAAACCTTATTGGGCTGGCTCTGCTGAGCCGTTCCCACCTCCGGAGGCTGAGTGTTTGAGTTCAGGTTACAAATGCTCCACCACCTCCCCAAGGAATGTTACAGCAGGCTCCACATATTATGTTACGGGTGGCTCTGCTAGTCCTTTAGGGAAAGGTAAGAATAAACTCGGGAGGAGGAGAGCTTTAACGCCTCCCTCCTGCCCAGGAAACCACATTAAAAAAAAAAAAGCAAGGATTCAGTGAAGACATGGCATTCTCTTCAACCCCAAATAAGCAGCCAGTGCTCAGGCTGCTGCAACCTGTGCTTTGAAAGGAAGGGTTTAAAAAGCATTAACACACACAACAGGTACATAATGGGATAAACCCCAAGTGTTTGGCTTAAGTGAAATCCCAGAATCGAGTCATTAAAACGTCCTGGGAAGTTTCAGTAGAGGTTTTGTCTCTTCCCAGAGCTGGCCTGGATTAAGAAAGCCAAACTTACAGCTGGGGTCCCTTCTCATCAACTCCTCCAAAAAGCAGCGCGACACCAAATGGACGAGACTGCAACAGAAAGGAGCCAACAGGTTAGGCAAGGCCGAGGGCAAAGTCAGAGGGGAGCCAGCAGCACCTCCCCAAGAGCACCCCCAGCACCGCACCATTGCCCCTGGGTCCGCATCCTCCTCCCCAAACTGCAGTGCCAGGTTGGACACGGCCTGCGTCACGCTCTCCACCGTCATGGTTTCGTTGTAGGTGAACCAGTGATTCTGCAGGGAAAGGAAAAAAAAAGAAAAGATTCAAATTATCACCTCGTTCCTAAAATATGACAAACCTGGATCGCTCACGCAACAGGCTGGAGCGATACCCTGCATCACCACAAAGATAACTTCCCGCCAGCAGCTGGGGCACAGCCCATTCAGCTGCAAGAGGGAAGCACCAGGAAGAGAGCAGGAAGTGCAGAACAAGCTGGAAAGTTTGTGCAGGGATCCCCCAGAAGCCTTGGGATGCCAACAGGGAAAATGCAAGGCTGGAGCACTTTATCCCAGCCTCTGTTTCTGAAGCAAGGGGGTTATCTGGTTCTCCAGAGGCAGGAGCAGTGCTGGCATGCAGGAAAACTCCTCAGAAAAAGTCTTTATTACAGCACTGAGATTTGTACCTGGAACCTCCGAGTACCTGAGGCACCAAGTAAATTTAAGGGGTAAAAACCAGAACCAACATAACCAATCTTTTGTCAAAACAAAGTTAGACACACAGCCCCACATGTGTGCTGGAGCACATCTGCTGGTGCTAAGAGACCACTGGAGATCCTGCCGTAAGATTCCCACCAAATGTGCAATACCAAAGGAAAAAATAAGAATACAGGGGAATAAGAATACCTGTTTGTTCTGCAAAAGCCCCACGAGGGAAGCTACGCTCCCCACAAGCCTCCCACTGCCCACCGGCTCCTTTCCTGTAACAACCAGCCTGTGCCAGAGACTTCAGAGATGCCCCCGAGACCAGCACTGCTATTTTAAAAAGAGAAATGTCAAACCTTACCTGAGTCTCCACTCTTGCTTTATCAATTAAAGTCTTTGCATCAGCTATTAAGCCACTCATGGCACACCCTGGAATCAGAGGGGGAAAACGCGAGTCATTTCACCCATTAGTTGTGATGCGCTCTTCCCCCAGACTCCCCAAAACCCACGGTGAAGTACAAAAGGCTGCAGGGCAGAGCAGGTCCCTGTGTGGGAGCACAGAGCAGTGCCGCACCGCACGTTGCTGGAACAGGGGGAGGATGGGTTCAAAACAGATTTGCTCAAGAGCAAGGATGGACGCGCAGATGAAGGGCAGGTACATAACCGAGTTCTCCCAGTCACTCCTCCCACCCACCCCAAATCCAAACCGTTTAAAGGAGCCACATTTGAGGCCTTCCAAGGGAAGCTAATGGACAGAAATGCAACCTGCTTGGAAAGGGAACTCATTCACCCCCTCCGTGGGGAGGGCTGGCAAACACATAGCCGGAGGGATGCAGCAGGAGCCTCCAGCACAGATCCTGCTCCAGGAAGAGAGGGGCTGAATTGCAAGGCACATGGGAGAAGGAAATTAGACTCTTCAAGAGCTCCTTCCGTGACCCATGTCATCAGCAACATGGGTATTTTGGAGGTCTCCTGCTTTTCAAGGCGACATATTTGGTAATGAGCCCGTCGCAGGCCCCCTCAGGGTGCAGGAGGCTGCTGCGAGCAGGGGTACGGGCTAACATTAGTGCTCCGAGGGAAACTGGCCTTGAGTCAAGCCTTTTGCAGTAATTCCCTGCCCTCCCAGATCTAAAATTGGGATGAGCTTTCATGAGGGAGGTCATTGAGGCAGGGGAGGGGGTGCTTCAGCTGCCTCTTCCTGCTCCTATAACTATGTCCTGCTGGCCTGGAGCCTGGAAAACCAGTGACCAGGACCTGGTGTTCACTGGGAGGGATAAGAGTTCCCATTCGGCTCAGGGGAACTGCCTGCAGGGAAGGGAAGCCCTGAAACACAGCTTTTGGAACTCCCAGGGGACAGAGTCTTATTTTTTATATATATATATATATATATATACACACACACACATATGTGTGTGTATATATAACTCGAGGGATGCTCCTGGGGTTCTACCAGAGGGGCACCCAGAGCTCATTCCTTTCTCCTTATCTTGCTTGTATCAGGAGTGGTGTGGCCAGCAGGAGCAGGACAGGGACCGTGCCCCTGTGCTGGGCACTGGGGGGGGCCGCCCCTCAAATGCTGGGGTCAGGGTTGGGCCCCTCCCTCCCCAAAGGCCCTGGGGGGGCTGGAGCGTGTCCAGAGAAGGGCAGCGGAGCTGGGGAGGGGTCTGGAGCCCCAGGCTGCTGGGGAGCGGCTGGGGG